AGGGATTGGCAGAGAGGGGTGGGGGGTGGAAGCCAGTGGAGGGATTGGCAGAGGGGGGGTTGCAGACACTGAGTGGTTGCTTAGGTTGATGAGTCAAGCAGCTGCATTCATATTCATATTGTATATCTTTTGTACTCTGTCTGTTCCGATTCGCCCTTCGTCATGTTCAACTCCATAATATAAGCCTATGTGTGGAAATGCTGGAGGGTCAGGTGTGCACACACACACCCAGACTAGTTGATCAACTTGCAGGATTATTAACAAGAAATACTTTTTGGCCAAGTAAAACACTGGATCCAAACTACCTTCAAGAAACTATTGTGTGACGTAGAGGAAGATATGGTTCCCAGGGGCTGACCTTAACGACTAAGATATCAAGCCATAATAAATATCCTATGTGATATTTGGGGACACACATAGCGAGCACTTAAGGACCAGTTTGAAGCCGTTTTAACATAAAAAGGACAGTTTTTTTTATTTCTCTTGTAACAGAAAATAGCTTTCTTCAGCAACACAACATGCAATATGCTTATAATTCAGGATGTAGACAATATAACAGTGTCTAACCAACTCAAGATTGTCACATATACTCCATGTGGCTCTTCCACATATCCCTTGTGTGTCACCGGCTCACCAAGCCTCCTTGGCTTATTCCCTGGTGCCTCCAGCACACACACAGCCACCTGGGTCCACTCTGGCTTCTGGGTGGAATCCTCCTGGACACAACCTGTCCCTCTTCCCAGCAGGAGCCCTCATGTGCCTGAAGGCCACACCACACCAACTCCTCCTTTGAGCTCTGGTCTGGGCTCTTAATGAGGCTGCTCCAAGCCACCTGATCACCGGCAACACCTGACCTCAGGACTGGAGATTTCATCCCACCCAAAACTCTAAGTAATCTCCAGAGATCCGGATCCCAGTTACAATCAAGAAAAACCAGAAGAACTTGAAAGGCCATCTTCTTCCCTACAGAACTATTTTGATTCTGGAACCTCTCAGCCCCTCTGGCTGAGAGTCCTGGGTGACCATGTTGCCAGCATACTCCGTGGCATTGCCACACCTACATAATAAAGCCTCCATCTTGGCTTGGATGTTGGATGACCTTTCTCCATTTACCCAGCCTTAATACTCAATACTCCTCATTGCCAATGCCTATAGCTATCTTTTAAAGATTTATACCACACATCTCCATTTCAGGCATTGAACTGGTAAGCAATCTATTTACGAAATATAAGCTCAAACCATTTTTACAGCTATAATTTGCCTAACCAAAAGAGTTTTTATTACATACAGATTCCCTGTGTTATGATCCATCAAATAGCAAGGCAGTTCCTTACTTCTTCTACGGCCTGAATGAAATATTCAATAACTTAGTTAATGATAAACTAATCTTTACCAAAACCACTTCCTTTTTAAAAAAAAAAAACTTAACAAACTCTTTACAACTTCCCAGTGGCTCCATTCTCTTAAAGCAAATTACAATGCTTCGAATTGTGTTTAGTCTGAACAATGAACGTACTTAGCAGTTGAATCCTCTGATTACTACCCATGATAACTGCTATCTTTTAAATCTGGCAAATCTTCTAGTTTACATGAAGGTGGAACTACAGTTCTTGTTGTACTCCCATGGCTGATTGGATATAAGTGCTGCAGCTCTCAATAGACTTCCCTTCTATGGTCACATCTCTGCCCCTCTTCTCCGAGCCATTCGCAAAATGGAGCCAGGGCAGAGCACCCACATGCCATGCTACTTAAAGTGACACTAAACTCCTGAGTTAAATCTTGAAAATGCTTTCATGTACCTCAGGGGCGTCCCGAGGCGGGGTGACACCCGGAGCGGTAACCAAGTGTCACCCTGCCGAGACGTCACCGCGTGGCAGTCTTCTGATACCTTCCGGCGGCCATCTTGGTGATGGACGCCGGCAGAGAGAGTAGGGGACAGTCACACGGCGGGATAAGGTATGTCGCCGGGTCCCCTCCTCTCTCCTGATACTGCCGGGCGTTCGGTCCATGACCGAGCGCCCGACTTTTCAGAGGGGGGTGACACCAAAATTTTGGTGTCACCCCTCCAATGGTGTCACCCGGGTGCGGGCCGCACCCCCCTTGTGACGCCACTGATGTACCTTACCTATTGACAAACATGTATCTTATTTGTGTATCACTCGGCGGCTGTAGATCCTCCAACCATCTCTGAATTGGTGCTGACACTGTCCTTCCTTCTGGAGGGTGGCTACTTTTGTTCCCCAAAATAATTTTTGGTTACGGACTGACAAATTCTGTTGCGAGAGGTACGTTGTGGTGCCATTCATT